TTGCAGATGCATCGAAAGTTGAAGATCTCTTTGCTTTCTGAAGACAGGTCCAGAATAATAAGGCACAAGTCGAAGTAACGTTTCTTATCGGTCTGGTGGTACATTCTGTGCACCTTCTGGAGCGGAAGATTTTGGGTTTTGAAGTCATCTATACGTAGACGGTCTCGAGATCCTTGAGGAGTCCGCGAACGACCACATGAAGGTCGCGCTCTTCTGAGAGGACGTAGGTGTGGAAACTAAATTTTTGGGAGCGTAGGTGATTTTTCACACAGCGGAATTCCTCAGTCCTCTCTATGAATATACGGATGCCGTGACTAGCGTTTTGTTTACGTGTTAGAGCGATGCTGCAGCTATATTATGGTTACAGCACGAATGGGTCGGCTTGATCGGGGAAAGACCACGCTCTCACAAAATATAGGCCTAAAATGGCAGCTTAACGCTGCTGTGTTTCGTATGGTGAGTGTAGAAAACCGGAGACCCTTTTTACTAGAAACGAGGGATTCCATCTTAGTCCTCACAGGTGACAACGCATCTGCATTTTGATTCGTAATCGAAGATAGATGTCTATGGGCCACAGCAACCACTTACCATCGGGTGGACTATATGCTCGTTTGTCACCCTTATCCTATAATCATAATATTTGTACCTTCGGATAGTACATTTTCTTGAGTTAAACAAAATGGAAAGGTTGTTCCATTTGGTTTTAGCTACAATCATGATGGGTGCTGGCGGCGTTTCCCTATGTTCTGCAGAGAACACTTCCGCCCTGGGCTTAGTCGCGGGTTTAGGGTGTTGAGTGCACGCCACGGGGGCTGGGTTTTTCGCCGGAGTGGCGTTTGGGGACAAAGGAGCTGAGTGAGGCATGGTCGCTTTTTTGGGGGCTGCGCGTTTACGCCTTTTGCCCTAGACGAGGGTGAAGCCTTCGTCTTCGAACTTGGACGGGGCACGTGTCTCTGTCTCCTGTAGCCAGATTCGGCAGATCGAAATGGGGCCGCGAATAGACATCGCGGCAGGTGCGGGGGACGCAGCGTCGAATATCGTGTCAACTGACACAGGGGTCGCAGGTCCGGTGCTCGTTGATATAGACTCATCGATCCGCACGGTCAAACGATCAGCATCGGACAGATTTTGCTGGGCTAAAAATGTCGCCCAAACGTTGGGGCAGATGCGACTGAGGAAGTCAGTGAGTTCAGCTATGGTAATAGCCGCAATCTTGTCAGAGTTTAGTAAAACATCTATGTACCAAGGTCCCCCACCTTTCAGCGAGGGAGGTGTCTGCCTATGACGAACACCTATATACGTAGCGCGTTAGCACGCTAGGATGTGTAACTAGCTAATGCCTAATGCAACAAGCAACACATACATTAAAAACGATGGCTGCCTCTGAAGCGGCAGGTGTGTGTCATTCTATTTAAGATTACCAAGAAGCACGGAAGAAGAGTTCGCACAAAATGCACTTTGCACCACAACAAGTGTTCAATACACTTCATAGTGCGACGGCTGTCTCCCAGGAGAGCATGGTTTCCGCTCCACAGTGACAGCACTAATACTATAACGAAGCACAGAGCACCAAGTAATGCAGTGTATTATATGTATATGTATTGTCAATCTTGCGCATGAGCAAAGAGAGTGTGAACTGACGTGAAGTGACGGGAGTGAACTCGGCCGACACATCTGGACCCTACAAAGCTCAAGCGTAGAACCTCAATGATATGATATTTCTTCAAATCCTCCTCCGGCGGATTCCGCATGGCAAATTATGAAGCGCCAAGGGCACGTGTCATCCGTCCATATCTGCGATACAATGCGGTTGACGTGTAGCCATGTTTCATCAATGAATATAACGTTGTCCCAATTGGTTATACGTATTTTAAATTTCTCGTAAAAATGTTTTTCTTTGCATTCATTTCTTTAAATAATTATTTTTAATTTATCAATTTTTTGTATCGGGAGCAAATTCCTTTTAAAATGGTTCTCAACGACTATACTATGATTGTACAAGCCGGAATCTTCTAAACTTACTCGCAACTTCGCCATGGTAGGATTCACAAAAATTATGAAAAAAAAATAGACTTGTTTAATTCATGATTCATATAATTTATGCAACTCTAAAAATAAAATTTTAAAGAAACAAATAATCAATCAAAAAAGTAAAGGTTCGATTATCAGAATATTTTATCGATTATTCGCATTAACATGAATTTGACACGATTTCATAGTCACGTGATTTTTAGTTTTATTGATTTTAAATTATTTATAATTAATTGGAAAAAAATAAATTTTCGCATGGATGATCGATACTTTTTATAATATTTTTTAAATAGGGTAAAAATAAGATTTAAAAAAAAAGCCAATACAGGGACGCGTCAAAGAAAGAAGTTAATACGTTAGTATAAAGTAATATTTTTGTCTTAATGTATTTTTAAGATTTAAGTTACGTCCAATATTATATCTCTACGTGCCAAATTTCTTAATTTTTAAGTCCATAAGTGACAAAAGTCAAACACGAGATGTCGATAAATTCATAATTTTCGCAGAAACAAATGCATAACTACAATAAATGTTCTATACTTACGATACCCAAACCATTAAATCACACACAATCTTACTGTAATCATAATTTTCTCAAATACGATTTGAACCTGTGTAAAATTTAACGAAATCAGTCAGAGGTATGTCAATAACAAACGAAGATATTAATTTTCTGTTAGTTGAAGCATCTTCAATGATATTAGAATGTAAAGCCCTTGTGGTCACCACCATTTGAGAGTACATCCATTATTAAACATAAGCCTACCTTAGAGCACGGCTCTGAATCTCCTACATATATCTTCCCTGTTTATCATATGGTACCACACCAGAGTCGGAGTATTGTACTACACTTCGACTACCGGTGTGGGGCCGCTACTTATAATTTTTTCGTCACAATCAATGGTCGGTTGTTTGAGCTTAATGATTTGCAATTATTCTTATTACTACGTTCATATCCTAGTTACACAACGCGTAATACTGGATACGCAGCAAATTTATACAAGTTATAACGTTTTAGTTAAATATAATTGGAATTTTGTGCAATGAATTTCAGAACAAATGTAATTTTACAGGGAATTAAAACACATATGTTTCGTAGGTTATTTGCAAAATCAACCCAACAAAACCGACCTAAAGTTTCAACAGCGCATTGGAACTGAGCAAATATGTTCGCGAGCTTTATTGAAGGTATGTGTATTTACGTACCTACTTTTGCACTCACGTTTGTTCTGTCGTGTTGACATTCGGTATATAACTTTTGACTTTCAATATTAAAGATTCGAAATTAGAATAAACTACGTTATTTAATTACATACTCCTTGTGTATTAAATTTAATCAACTGAATTTAAGTAGTTGTGTTTGATATCGTTTATTTCATTTGTAATTAAAATGTCATTTTTAACCTAGAGAGAGAAATTAGTTACGTTTTCTACGGGACACGAGGTTATAAATTATTTTCGATAATAACGTCCTTCAGAATGAATTTCGGTCACGACGGCCAGTTTCAAGGTATACTAACTACCTACGCAGGGCAGGATTACAAGTACACATGTGTATGAGCAGATGTACTCTTTACTCTCTTACTTCTCCTAGCTTCATCGTAATCTGAATGACCGAAAAGATATCAGATGCAGGAGCAACTGCTTTACGTGTTTCCGAGGCACGGGAGTGAAACACGGTCTACTTCCGGACTCCAGGCTGCTACTGAGTATTTCTTGATAGAAAACAGAGTAACTGATTTTGACCCAACACAAGGTTTGTGTGTGCTTGTGTGTGGGATCATGATCAGCAAACGTGTTTACGAACAGGCAGTTTATTAGTCAACTAATATCTTTACTTTACCATAGCCAAAACATGTCTAAACAAATAAATACAATTGAAGAGTCTCTTTGTAATGTCGAAATAACAGCTTTTGCTATATTCATATGAAAGTATATACGGTATTTGGTTTTGTTATAAATACCGTATATACTTTTATATGCATATAGTAAAAAGCTGTTATTTCGACATTACAAACAGACACTTCAATTTTATTTATCTGTATAGATATAAGGTACTTATAACAAAAACGATTTTTAAAATGTTTGTCTGTCGGCTGGACCGATTTTGACCGGACTTTCTCTGGCAGATAGCTGATGTTATAAGAAGTAACTCAGGCTACTTTTATTTTAGAAAAATGAATTAGTTTATCGCGGAAAAGTTAAAACCCATGAAATCCAATCGTAATAAATTACGCGCGGGCGAAGTCGCGGGGAACAGCTAGGGATATAATAAAAATAATTATTTAAAGCAACACATAGATCATGCTGACTTTTTGAGATAAGAGCATATTATGTGAAGTTGTGCAACGTGCAATAAAGCACTTTTGCGCTTGCTCCCTTTTACTTATTTTTCTTGCGATTACTTTTAAAAACAGCAAATTTTAGGGATTTTTAGAGAAGTTTCCTTATTCGACGCGTAGATTTTTTATGTATGTTCACTGATTTCTCGGAAACCGTTGAACCGATTAGAGTGATTCTTTTTTTATTAAATAGGTTTTACTTCAAGGGTAGTCCCATATAATTTTAAGTAAAACATTCATGATGATGATGTTGATGGATGGAAAAATATGGAATGAAGTTTTTATTTATTTATTTAGAAAACCAACAGCTCTTATGAATATACAATGTTAATAATTTATAAATTATTTTAACAGCCAATTATAGGTTTCCCTGTATAAATCTTAAATGGTATCTCCTACTCTTAATATAACTATTTAAACGACATTCTAGGTGTTGGGACTTAAAATCACTTTTAATACACTATGCCATAACATCGATTTAAGAAGATATTATGTGGAAATAATTTTATTCATTTTTGGTTTTTGAAGACGGTTATACTTTCTTTAATATAATTATTACAATAAAATATAAAAAGGTGTATGTACAAACAAACCAAGGAAAAGCCAATTTTAACATCTATATATATTTTATTGCTGGAGTTTTGTTACTAGTGAAATTTTTCCTTCTGGTCGTTTTTTATTTTTGTCGCGTAGTAAGTTTTTCTCGAATACGTAAACAGAGTAAAACGGTAGAGGCATCACTGTTGAAGACACTGGTAGGAGATCTGCAACATAAACAAATTTATATATTTATTTGTTGTGAAATATAACTCATATGAAATACAAAAATGCACTTTATTTCGCATCATCATCATCATCATAGTCATCATCATTACAGCCCTTTACAAGTCAGCAAGACATGCAGGAAGTCGATGGATGCAGGTGGCACAGGACTGTGTTTTGTGGCATTCCTTGGGGAGGCCGTTGTTCAGTAGTCGACTTTATTTCTTTATTTTTTTTTTAATACTTTATTCATTCATTGCAGCCTATGAAAGTCCTCTGCTAATCATAGGTCTCCCCCATAAATTGCCTCATGAGAGGGGGATATTTCCCATCGTTTCCAAAGTGGGAGAGCAAATTATTAACCACAGTTTTTTTTTATTTTCTAATTATTATAAAGAAGTGGCTGATGTCCATCTCCTGGTTTATTTCTCTCTGTTGCCTCTTGATATGGGGTAGTCCATATTCTTATACCGCCACTGCACAGTGGTTTAATGCCCGTGATAGTCTTGCGGTTAGGGCCATTTATGTTGTACTATCTTAGTAATCTCAATTAAATATCTGACGTATTTAGAGCCTTTGGTCAGTGGTAGACTTGCTTTGTACTGGTGGTGAAATAGAATCCATGAGATATAGATGAGGCAACCTATAGAATTATTATATTAGATAATTGAATTTATGGAACTTATAAGACACCATACTTATACTTTTAAAGCGTTTCCTAAGAATTCTAGCAGCACTTTATTCACTCTAACCTTTAAATGATTGTGCTAAGAGTGGTTTACGACAGTAGTCGAATGGCGGATTCTAGATCACGACTTTTGAGTTTCTCGGTCTGTCCTTAACCAAAGGATACTGGTATTATTGAGAATTTATTAAGAGTTTTTGATTAAGCAAATTTGTTACCGATTTTAGCCACGCGTAACGTGGGTGCACTGCAAATATAAAAAAATGAATAAACGCGGTATAATTCCGGTAATAAATTAAACTAATTTTACGGATTTGATCGCGTACAGGTTACAGTATCATGACGTCTTTTTTTATATAATAAGGGTGACAAACGAGCACACAGTCCACCTGATGGTAAGTGGTTGCTGTGGCCCATAGACATCTACATCTATCTTCGTTTGCGAATTAAAATGCAGATGCCTTGTCAGCCGTGAGAACTAAGATTGAATGCCTCTTTTCCAGTAAAATGGGTCTCCGGTTCTCTACACTCACTATAAGAAACACAGGAGCATTAAGCTGCTATTTTACCCCCAGTCGAGCCGACCCATTCGTGCTACAATTATACTATTAATATAACTGAAGCATGGCTCCACCACGTACTACGTCTTGCAGTAGTATATTTGGGCTTGGGTTTAATTTTGTTAATTATGGGAACTCAAGCTTAATAGTAGCACCCAGCCATCTTCTCTATTGTTTTGTAATGTATTAGATACTTTTTATTTCGTCATTTATTATATAAGTACTTATATATGTTTTTCATAGTGTTCACGTTTACGGATTGTTCTTGTGGACGTACACGGTAACTGGTTTCGGAGGTAAAGACGAATTGAATTCAATGGGCCAATAGTAAATCAGCGTCAGGTTTCCAACCTGACACCATGCTGAATTGTTTCTAAGTTTTTGGCACTACCGATAGGCATTAGGTTTAAAAATAAATAATTTAAGTTTTCCTAATTTTAATTATCTTTATTTCATAATTTTTGGTTGCTCGTTCGTTCTTGAAATTGTATTTTGTTTTGAACTCGTTTCTGTGTCTTGGTGCCTTATGAGTAATATATATTTTTCATTCTTTCTCATTGATTTTCTTTGGTTTTATTTCCCTTACTAATTCATCTAATCGGTGTATCGTGCTATTGTTTGAGGATTCGTGGCTTATCAAATCTGAAGTAATGGTGGAGATGATACTAAACATATTGACATACTACAGACTTCCCGAAGAGTCGGTGCTTCAAAATATCAACTACATTTTGTGCTATATGTTAGCAAATGCTATCAGCTGTAAGCTCATTGTGCGTAGATCGGATCAAATTCAAAATTTAACTTGTAATTATATTATCTGCAGTCGCTCTTACAACCACTAGACTAACGAACTCAATACACCGTAATAAATCACAAGTTAAACACCAAATCAACACCGCAGTTATTATTATTTAGTTACTATATAAAAGATGATGTTGGCTATCTTCTATTTAAGTTCCTCACTGTCGCCTCCTTTGGCACCGCGGGGATGATGTAGGCGTATATATACTGTGTAGTGGGGGCGTAAGAATATCCACTACCACATGTCACTCTGTGTTGATTCTTCATAAATTATCACTTTTATTACTTAAATATTAAGAAAATGGAAAGTTTATCTTTTTATTTCGAATGATTTGGGATTTTTTTGAATATCGCATTATTTAATTCGAGTCTTTGATTTTAATCCATGATATGCCAAACCTTGGAAAAAATGCTATAACATGGGTTATATGGTTTTGGAATCTGTGCCTACTTTTAAAAAAAAGCTTCCAAGGCTACGACGGACCTAAAATTTATTTGGTACCTTAAAATAAAAATTATACCAAAGCTTTTTTTGGTAAGGTCAGTCCAAATTACTCCGCGTTACTTTGCGGAAATCCATTATATGAACATCTTTAATATAGTGGATTTCCGCAAAGTAACGCCTGATTCTATTGAACCTTATATCATGTATGGGTAGATAAGTTTGTATATTTGGTTGATGTGAGCACATTTGTATTGACACGTCCACCTTTGAAGTTCTGTTACATTTTGTGAAAAGTTGAAAGCTGCTGTTATCACGCAGCTGCAGGTTTTCTCATGATGTTTTCGTTCACCGACGAACATCTAGTCAAATTAGCGACCAACCTCGGAATGAGAGATAATAAGCCGAATTTTCGTATATACTTTCTCTTTGGCATTCCAAACGTTGTCTCAAAAGTCTCATAAAATCTTGTATATACGTCGTTATTCAAGGTCAAAGGTAAAATAAACCCAGTTTTTAAATACTTATTTTTCTATCATGATTATAACTGGTAAGATGGACCCTTGTAACGACCTTTTTCTATGACATTTATACTTGAAATGAGAACTCAGATCCCGAACGTCCTGAAGATGACGATGAAGAAGAAGATAATTAACACTTTTATTCTTTAAATTATTAAAGATTTATAGATTTTCACTGCAATTAAATTTGAATCGTAAGAACACTGCTGGCTGTATGTGGAAGCTCAGGGTCTATGGGGAGGGCTATGCTCGGGGTTTCTCTGCATGATAGGCTTAAAAACTAGGATATCCGCAGTAAACCAGAGGCACCGATATAATCCAACAGGTTAGTAAGCTGAAGAGGCAATAATCCAACCATATAGCTCGAAGAACCGACAAGCGATGGGAAAGAAAGATTCTCGAGTGGCTGCCTCGTACCGGCAGGGAAAGTGTAGGGTGTCTGCCCACTTGATGGAGTGACAACCTAGTAAGACATGCAGGAAGTCAATGGATGTAGGTGGCTCGGGACCGTGTTTTTTGGTATTCTTTGGAGGAGGCCTATGTTGTGAAGGGCTGTACTGATGATGATGATTATCTTATGTCTAAAAACTTACACATTTTAAAGATAAATTTCTTCATTATTTTTCTACTTATAATATAATTTCAATAAATTAAGATATGCAATAAATATGTCTTAATTTATTGAATTAATTTTGATTTTTAAATTACATTAAGTGGGTGAGTATTATTAAATGAATATATTAAAAATACGTAAAATGTTATTAAATACAATGTATTAACTAATAAATAATACAAATTATTCAAAATTCAAGGTATTATTCACAGATATTGACTGGCCCGTTGGTCTAGTGGTTAGTGACCCTGACTGCTACGCCGGAGGTCGTGGGTTCGATTCCCACCCAGGACAAATGTTTGTGTGATGAGCACGATCATTTGTTCTGTGTCTGGGTGTAATTTATCTATAATATTTATGTATTTAGAAATATATAAGTATGTTTATCAGTTGTCTAGTACCCATAACACAAGCTCTGCTTAGCTTGGGACTAGATGGCGTTGTTTGATAGTTGTGGAATATTATTATTATTATTATTATATTCATGGTTGACCTTGCATTACAGTATGTATGGCAGAGCGCTGCGCGCTCACCGCCCTCTATCGCAAAAACGGTTGAGCGCATGAAAGAATATTTCAATTAAAATTTGTCGCAAATTTTATGCTCTACAATTTTTTAGTAGATGTTAACATCACTGGAGCAATGGAAACCGAGAGATAGCGAAACACTGTTTTTTTAACCTTTGACCTTGAATATCTCACGACGCAGACACAAAATTGTATGAGACTTTTGAGACAACTTTTAGAACGTCAAAATGTTCCCTCATACGGAATATACATATAAAAATTCAGCTGATTATCTAACATTACGAGGTTGACCCCTTTTTATGCTAGTGACTGGACTACAGCGTTCTTGGCACGATATCACGGGGAGTAGGACAGTAGGATATTTTAAGTGTTTAGTCTTAGTTTTTTGTATAACGGTTTTTTTTTAATATTTTGTATATATTAATCAATTCATTCAATTTATTCCAAACATTACATAAATAAATGTTTGGAATAAATTTTGTAAATGTAACTTATGAGAAGGTATTTTTTTTTAATTTATTATTAATGTTGTACAATTTTATTATTCTTTACTAGTAAGAACAAAATTTCGAATGATATTTTAATGCCAGTATTTTAATTATTATATGATAAGTAAAATAATACATAGCACGTCAATTCTTGACCCTGGCCCGCTACTCGGTTATGCAAGGCCAGACAAGTCTCAAGCTTTTTAATGCAGTGAGTAGTCCCGTTGAAAAACCGCGTTCACACTTTAATAAAAATGTAAGGTAAAGTTTTTCATTTTAAACGTCTATTTCAAGTTTTTTTTTTAAGAGATGGAATGGATTTAAACTTCTCAGTACGCAAGCAACCCGGATTTGATCATCGGCGGCACCTACGAATTTCTTAGTTCAATTTTTAAGTACTGATGTACAGAACGAATACGTAGAGAAACCTGCATGTATGAAAAATTAAAAAAATATGACGAAGGTGTGTGAAGCCCACTAAAACCCATTGGAGCAGCGCGGCAGATATTTTCTTGCCCAAAACCCTCTCAGAAATAAAAGGTGGACTGTGCTCAGAAGCTATTGAGCTATCGTTATAAATTATTGATTTTTGTATCATTTTGTATTAAAATATTTATTAATGTTATTTAAATTTAAGTCTCAAAATTGGAAAAAAATGGCAATTACAATATGGACAAAGCCACAACCATAATTTGTAATACTTTAAATTGTTTATAACGATTTTACGAAAGGGTTGCAATTATTTACTATTCAAAGGAATACAATAAATTTGCATTAACACGTGAGTAGCGTTAATTTGATTAGGTTTTATGAAAATTAAAACATTATTAACCCGGCTACCTTCAGTTTTTAAATATTAATTTAAGTTTTTGGTCCGATCTACACAGAATGACCTTACAGTATCTTGAAGTCTTCCAGTGGTATGCTTGGGTTTGGATAAAATTTTATTAATTATAGGATCCCAAGCAGATGGCAGCACCCATCCATCTTATCTATTGAAATTAGGATGTTTTTTTTAATTTCAATAGCCTCGCGTATCATCCTTGGTAGGAATCCGTGTTCTTTTGCGAGAATTTGTGATCTATCAAATCTAATGTATTGGCGGGGACGATCTTGAACACTGTTTACGCACTGCAGTAAATATAAGAAATCATTAAAATTAAAACAATTCGATTATAAACATGACTTTGCATTTCGAAAGTGCACTTTGCGCACGACACTAAGTTTATAAACTCAAGGCAAAGCGGCAACGGATACACCTGCATCCATTAGTGACTACTGCAAATTTAAGCAGTATTAAAATGGAATGATTTTGAAACACTAATACGTTATTTTAGGATAATTATTAAAACGATACCATGGAAGTATCATAAAGAAACGTTAGAAAAAAGCCTTTTATTTGTTGATTAACAATAAAAATATAAAAGGATTGAAAATTCAAAAAAAAAATGCAATCAAAAGATGCATGTAAAACAAATGCAATTATTAAATTTTAAGAAAATATTTTTATTAAAAATTAGAAAACCGCAAAATTAGTCATGAATGAACACTACAAAGTTATATAACAATTAAAAAAAATCAATAATGTCACTAAGTAAGTAGAAAAAAAATTGTAAACTCATAGAATTAAACAAAAAACATAATAATAAGAGAATTAAAAATAGCAATAATGGTTATATTTCCAAATCTAATATAAAATAAAAAAGACTCACCGGGCTTCAAAACATTATCAGAATCTCGCCGATATAGCATCCCGCAGGCAAAACCGAAAATATATCCGTACAACAGGAAAACCAGGTAAAAATTCATTCTTTAAATGGCACGAATGTACGGGGATCACAAAACTCGACAGTGGATATATTTCAACCTATATTTATTTGACACTTCCGTGTCGCGGCGAGCGGCGTACTCGAATAGACTCAAATAAAATATCGAACGTATCAGTGATATTCTCGATACAACCAGCTGACATTGCACGATCGAAAAGCTAAAATGATCCGCTTTTAGCAAAATCACTTTAACGTTGTTATAATATACCGTTGTTTGAGAACACTGAAATGTATGTAAATAATGTTAAATTGTGTCTGATGACTTCTATTAGTCTCTTTTACAACGTTACAAAAATGCACTGTAAAAGAAGTAGTTTGACTTCGTATTTTTGTTGTCATATTGTTTTCATGTATAAATAATTATAATTTTATAGACCAAAGTTAATAAAGATACGAAACAAGATTACTATTGTTTTTTTTTTTATATAAAACAAGTGACAGTCAAATTCACAGTCCACAAAATGTTAAAATGGCTTCTGCTGTCCACGACGTGCAGTGGCGGTGTAGGTATATCCACTACCCCATATTATCACGTGGGTGTCGTAAGAGACGAGGAGATGGGCAGCATTGTCTTCCTCATAACGACTAAAAATAAAAAATAAACTGCGGTTGCCAACCCGCTTGCCTTATTATAATTTCAATAAGTCAACTAATAGTATTGATTTATATAGACTTTTACTAAAATAACGTGCATGAAAATTTAATTTCTTCAAAAATAAATAGAAACAAGGAAATAGATAACAATGTTTTGCATATTTAGTATCCCTTATATTTTTATGTCAATAACATTATTTGATATAATTTATAATAATTTCAAATTATCTCTAAGGATATATAGAATATCCTCATTCCAAGCACGTGGGGGTCGTATGAGGCGACAAAGGGAAATGAAACGGCCACCGACACCTGAGATGGGCGTCAGCATCTTCCTAATTACAATTTAAAATAATAGGGGGATGTGGTTGCCAACACGCCTGCCAAGCTTGTCAACTACGGGAAATGTCATCCTTATTAGGTAGTCTATGGGAGGGTGCTATGTTCAGCAGTGGAGTTTGGTCTGTAATGTAAATTAATTATTTAGTAGTATTATGTAGAATTTCAAAATTAACATAAGAACTTACAAAGTGAAGTAGTTGAAAACTTAATTACAAAATGCATATATTTCAAGCTGTAATATAAAGTAAGTAAAATATAAAATTTAAAACAAACATATTTATGTCGTCCCTAATTTGGTATAGTAAAAACAAATTTTAAGTTTGTATTTTGAATATTAGTTTAAATGGCATACCCACGCGGAAGTAGCTCGTGTTGTTCTTGTACAATAATTTTGTTTATTTTACATAAATTACTTTACGTAAATTTGTCCATTTTGATTACAATAATTGATGAGATGAGGTCATTTGCTGTTTATATTCATCTTTGTGACTCATTGCGTGGGCGACTGAGAAGGCACACTCATGATTCTCTCGCAGTATACGGCACACATTTGTGTTTATATCACATTTCCATATTTGTTAAACCGGTATAGGTAAAAACATACATTCTACAAATTTAACTTACAATTTTGTAAATAAACCGCGTAAGAGATTAATGCGATATAATATAGTTAGCTTTGGGTACATTACTCTAAATATTCAACTTACTCGTATATTGCTGTAATATTTTCCAGACTTAGTGATTTGCCACCCATAATTAACTTCGTACATATAAACATCAGAGCCAGTTTCTTTTGAAACTAAAATAAAACAAAGATACGATGTTTTAAAAATAACGTTATTTTAAAATGAATGTTAACTGGCTAGGGATTCGAGTATATTTCTCTCATGTGATATAATTGATATAAATGGACAAAAATATTTTTATGACTTTTATATTAAAAATAATATTAAACTCCTGCTACAAATTTATTTTAACCAAAACAATCACGCAGACCTGGAACAATTATTTCTAGGCAATAAATATTATGTTAAGTGCATTGCACTTATTATAACATAATATCTACTTATTCATCGAAGCCACAGACAGCATTGTCACAGTCAAACGCATTTAAGGATAAAAAGGAGGTTTTCCTCTCCGAAAATTACAATTAAAAGTAATTGGTAAGAATTTTTGCAATGTAAATGTAATAGTAGTGGCGACGTAAGAGTCCATCACCACGTTTTTTTCTGTAAGTGTCATAAGAGGTGACTATACGAAATGCCAGAAAGATCTAATGCTTCCGATAGGTGGCGGTATAACTATGTTGTACTCGCCAGACGTAAAATACCCCCTAACATATAGTGTATTGATATATTACCCCTTTTAATATATAAATGGTATCGAAGAATTAAATCCCTGGCTTCAAAAGCTATAAGAGAATTGTTTTATTGTTTTTAGTTATTTGAATGTTGAAACCATGGTAGCTCAGATGGTTAGCGCTCGCTGTAAGCTTCACAGTACTCGAACAAACCGGGTTCGATCCCCGCCGGCATCAATGAAATTGCTAATTGCAATTTTAAGTGCTGATTTACCACGTGCTCGACGGTGAAGGAAAACATCGTGAGGATACCATGTCAGAGCATGTCTGAGAAATAAGAAAAAAAAATATTTCTAAGACTAGTGAAGTTCGCCAACACGCATTGGGGCAGCGCGGCGGACATTTCCTTGCCCTAAAACCCCCTCAGAAATGAGAGGAGCCCTGTGCCCAGCAGTGGGACGTAAATAGGCTGCAACTTTACAAACTTTCATTTCAATGTTCTTATTTTATTAAAAGTCTAATTTTTTGACTCTTTTTAGCGAGTAGGGAATATCTCAAGCGGGTGTAGAATATCGTCTTAATAATTTCATTAAAAACTGCATCTTGTATTTATAACTTTTCAGTTTTGCTTCAAACATATATGGGACCATCCTGGAGGTATTAACTATTAAATATTATAAAAAAGGTTCACGATTAGCGTATAAGATGCGAACGAAAAAGCAGTCGAAATGAGATCCTCCTCGTTTTTTTAAAAACGGCTACAATAAGGATGTCAAAATTTGAGGTTGTTCTGTACATAGTATAGTTACCATGATCCGTAGTTGGTGTAATTTCGGTATTACTGTATGTAATCATATAAATAGGCATCTCAATTTTGTAACGTTTTTATTTAAATAACTGCTCTGTTACAAAAACCCCAGTAATGTAAAAAATCTCACATTATAACTGTGACGACAGGTGCAACTTATTATCCTTTAGGATAAGAGGGCCTTAGTATCAAAGTCTACAAAAGCCAACTTTGTAAGATCCGTTTGAATTACCTACACGGCTGGTAACTTGGCTACATTTTGCAAGCGCGCAAAAGGATAAAGCAGTTCAAATTACATTGGCGGTGTAGTGATATTACTGTCAGGGGAAATAACAGAACATCGTATGTAGTGGTGAACGCATAGTGCTGTTCTTAAAAACATGAACGCGGAATCATGTACACAGATTAACCTAGTTTTCTTTTATGGAATATGTGCTAAAGTCTTTTATATAATGATTTCTTATATTTACGGGAACACTACACATTGATTAAAACTTTTTTTTACGGATTTTGTCGCGTTTAAATTACTATTTTAATTCTCGACGTTTCGGGTGCTTTACAGCAACCCATTGTCACGGGGGGACTGAGATGTTTGACGTCCCGATGTCACAGTTAGCCCGGCTACCTTCAGTTTTTTAATATTAATGTTTGGTTCGATTTACGTAGAATGAACTTACAGTATCTTGAAGTCTTGCGGTGGTATGCTTGGGTTTGGATTAAATTTTTTTAATCATAGGATCCCAAGCAGATGGCAGCACCCATCCATCGTCTCTATTGAAATTAGGATGTTTTTTAATTTCAATAGCCTCGCGTGTCATCCTTGGTAGGGATCGATGTTTTTTTTTGCGAGGATTTGTGGTCTACCAAATCTGATGTAATGGCGGGGACAATCTTGAACATGTTCAAAGACTGCAAACTTCCCAGAGCGTCGGTGCTTTACGTCAACTATATGTTCTTTCATGCGGGTTTTAATGGATATTTTTGTTTGTCCTATGTAAGAGAGACCATATTCGCAATCAAGCTTATACACTCCTGCATCTTGTAGAGGGATATTACACTTAACGGATGGTAAAAAATAAAAGCTCGCTTCAAAATGTAGCCAACCTTTTCTGTGACTCCTCTAACATAGGGTAGTACAGCAGGCACACGCTCGACTGTGGTCGGCTTCACTCAGTCACTGTGACGTTGGCGCGGGACTCGAAGCTTGTTGTCTTGCAATACTTGTTCGACGTGATGAAGCTCGGCGGCCAGATGTTTTCTGTCACAGATCCCTCGTGCTCTCTGAAACAAAAATTTTCCCACGGTAGCTAACTGTGATGGATGATGGTACGATTCACCATTTAAATATCGGTTAGTATGGGTCTTTTTCCTATACACAGTGTGACCAATAGTGTTATCAGGATTTCAGATGACTAAAACATCTAGGAAAGCTAAAGAATTGTTTGCCTGTAACTCCATTGTGAATTGTATTTTAGAGTTTATGGAGTTAAGGTGGTTTAAAAATGCAGTTACTTTGTCAGATGGCAAAATTGTGAAAGTGTCGTCTACGTACCGCTTGTAGAATCTTGGATTTACAGGAGCAGTAAGAAGGGCTTTCTCCTCAAAATCCTCCATAAATATGTCGGCGACTATGGGAGACAAAGGTGAGCCCATCGCCACTCCATCTACTTGCTTGTAGAACTCCTTCTTCCACAATAGATAGCCAGATGTAAGGCAGTGCTTTTCTGTAGGCATGTTGTATTTTTCTAGCTTCTTGGTTACAATTGAGATGCAGTTTTCAATAGGTAAGCATGTAAATAGTAACTGAACATCAAAACTGACCATAGTTTCATTGTCAGCGAGATGTAGGTCTTTTATTTCACTATAAATGGTATGAATCCTTTGTGTGTGCTCTAGTTTTTACTCTCAGTGGTGACAGAATTTTAGCCAGGTGTTG